CAGCTCAGAGAGACTGGGGGAAGTCAGTTGGTATAAGGCAGCTGTCAAGATAACTGTAAAAATGACCAGCTGAAACCCAGCCTAGTGGTATCTCTCCTTGTCTGATGGCCTGTGCGCAGGGGGATAAACAGAACCAAGAGGTGGAAGCAGAGACCCAGGTGTTTTGATAGGTATTGGTCAGAGAAAAGTCACTGCCGTCAGTGCAATAAGGAAGGAGATCTGAAGCCTCTGCAGAGCTCCATGGCTGGAAGCGATCGGTATCGGCTGGTGGTCAGTGCACAGCTCCTGATAAGCATTCCTGAGACTCAGCCACTGCAGGAACCAGGCAAACCTTTCCAAAAGGCTGCTGTCTCTGTGCAGCCTAAAGTGTAAATATGGCAAACTGAAACAGAGGGACCGTCCAGAGATCATTCTTTGGTTAAATTTCCTCTCCTAGAAATGCATGGCATGTTTTTCCAGCTTTAAAAATCCCTAATATTTCATGCATAGTGACTATCGCATTCCACTATAATGACAGCTACTTAATAATGATGGGCACGTGAATTCCCCGTGCACCCTGTGAATGTACTTTGGGATACTTCTTGATGAACTCTGCTATGCAGAGTTATTGAGCTGCCACCAGTATGAGAAAAATGCAACTGAAAACTTTTCTTTGTTATTGGATGTGAATGAAATTGTCATAAATGTATGAGTGTTTTTATCAAGTCTGATAGACCTGGGGCTTGTTCTGCCAGGGACGCAGTCTTGAAGTTCAGTGAATTATTACGGAGGCAATGCTCTCAACTGGGAAAAGTGCTGCTTATATATTTATTTATTTATTTATTGTCAGGCATCTGTCAATAAGAATATTTTGCTGTCTTTCCTATATGAGATATTGTGACTGATTGTTCAGAACAGGGTGCAGACCCTAAGCCTTCTTTAATATTTTCTCTAATAAATTTTTCATACAAGAGTGATAGTTTTGTCAAAAAATGTTACTCAAAAAGGACGTGGAGGTGCTACATTTTCTTTATAGGATAAAGAATAAGCCAGGGGAAGGTTTTATAAATTCACCAGTAGTGCCTGGTTTTGAGTTAGGAAGTTATATTAACTTTCGGTTTTTTGTTGTAGTTTTTCCTTCTTTAAAACACTTTAAAAAAACCTAAAGCACATGTATACCCATATGAATACAACTGGAAACTCTTCTGACCTGCTCTCAGCCAGCCAGATGGGAGCTGGCTCTGGTCTGGAAACCTTTGTAGTTGTACAATGCAGTGCTGTGCTTGAACTTTTGTGCTTTGACTGGCCCAGCCTGGGATTTTGGAGGTATAGTCAGAAATCTTTACAAGACATGTTTTGCACGTCAGATCCCAAAGAGACTCATGCTTCATCTTTCTGCACAGTTTGCACCTTCTGACCAGTTGAGGCTCCTCTTCACAGCTTTCCCTTCTTTAGCTCCAGAACAGCAGCAGTGCAGAACCGGCTCACAGAGAGAAACCCTCCAAGAAACACAGCAGCAGCCAGGGCAATGGTGGCCTCTTCCCCCCCCTCAGCCCATGTGCTAAAGGCAGTAAGGTCAGCCTGGTCTGGGATCCCAAACAGGCCCCAGTGCAAATCTTTCAGCTGCAACTCCACCATTAGAAGTGGATCTCATCCTTCTCCTTTAACACAGAGCATCTGTGTGTCCTGCAGGGAATAAGACAGGGAGGGTTTAGCAGCTCTCTAACTCCTATTCTGCACTGAAGCAGCTCATCCTTTTTTGCCGTGACATTGCTGTGTTCTGCCTCTTGGAGCAAGCTTGTGTCAGGCCAGCCTGGAGCATCATCAGAGCAATAACAAACCTGTGCTCAAGTCTGTCTGCACCCGTGACTGCTTTCACCAGGAAGTGGTTCATAGCCTGTGCAGATGAAGGAGCAGTGTGAAAGAGAACACGGAAAGAGGGTTTTTAAACTGAGTCACATAAGCTAGTTTCCAAACCCCAGATACCCATGCGTGGTATTTGTACATATTTAGTCATATTCTGATTGAATACAACATAAGCATCTTTTACGGATTTATATCTTTGTCCAGCAAGCTGAATAATAAATGTTGATGTCTGCCAGTTACCAGAACTGCAAAATTCAGAGTGTTATATCACTCTGTGGCCTGATGATGGATTTTCTTGATGGTTAAGCCGTAGATTTTCACGTAGCCTGATTTTTCTCCCTCTCACTTTTAAAGGTCAAGGCAGCTATTAAACATGTGTGTGGGAGAGGAAAAGACTTTCTGAGTCAACAATAGAAGTAAATAATAGTGCTGGATTATCATGACAATGAGTTTAGCCTCAAAAAGGAAGTAGGACAATACAGATACAGGGCAAACTTAATAATTTAAAATTCATTTCTTTTACTTATTCATCTCAGAACATCCAGATGAGCAGGAAATTCAAGGCCTGGAGATTGCAGAATAGATTAGTAAACAATGGAATTTCACACTCTTCATAAGGAATGATTGCAAGGTTAGGTCGGATAAAATGCCAGAACTGGAGCAGGCTATGCAAAACAATGCTAAGACACACTTTGACTATGAAACGATTCGAAATAAGCAACAGAAAACTGTCAGCTACAAATGTTTTATTTCTTTAACACAGAGGCAGTAAGGAAAAGTCACCATCCTCAATGAGAAAGGAGAACTACCAATAAACATAGCATCAAACACTCAGCTTTTTTATATAGTTATGATTCTGAAACAGAAAGTTGGAACAGTTTTGAATATTAGAGGCTCCAGAGGTAGGCACTCATGCTTCAGGGCTGCAGTGTTTGGGTTTGGGTGACTATAACACTGATTTGGCTTGCCTAGATTACCTTGGGGTATGAATTCTTTGCTATGAGGAGGTCAGCTGTCCCCAAAATGCCATAAGGGCCCTGAATTTGAATTCTAGTGTGTCATACCCCAACAACTTTTTTTGAGTACCTGTCTTGCTGTTCTTGGCTGCAGTTTTTCATGGCATAAGGCTCTTTCCTTCATTTGTGGAGGGAAGTTGCTCTGCTCAAAGTTCTTTCTACTACTTCATTTGAACAGCTGATCTTTGATTGCCAGATCTCTATTTCTGGGACTTGCTGATCAGTGGTGGGAATGGCACACACATTGCTTCAGAAAGTTCTACAAGAGAAGCAGGCAGTTTGAAAGCATCTCACGGAGTCCTACTGTTGAGTAGCAGCAACAGAGATAACAGCGTGAAGCAGTCAAGTGGACTGGAAAGTGAAAATGAGAGTTACGCTTGACAGCAGATGGTATATTTCCTAGTAAGAATCACTGGAGAACAGGGAACCAGCATAATTTTGTGCTTTTCCATCTTTAGTCAGTTTTGGCTACACTCAGTGAGTACTGACATTAGCTCTTACTCACAGTTTGGAATGGGTTATGCACTCGTCAGAAAGGCAGACATCTGCATTACTATCAGTAGATAAACACCTTTTTTTTTTTGGACTGTGTCAGAAGCTCCTTCCAGTCCTAGATCAACCACTGCATTTAGTATCTACTCTTTTGGAGAAGATGGGGCAGGCATTGCTACTCAGTTATCATGAAACTGGCTGCATGACTTCAAGTAGCATCATTCACTAACCTGTGTCATTTGGTTGGGCTGTTACTTTATTGTGTTGCATGGTTTTGTCAATTTGTGTTGGCTGTTTGAACCAGTCATCTGTTACCTTATTTGTATCTGAATACTGTAAATATTATGTTATCCTTGTCATTTTCTTTTTAAACAGAAGATGCAGGATCCCAAATCTTCCTGCCACATCAAATAGACATGGCTGCTCAGGTGGCTTCTGGCATGGCTTACCTTGAATCTCAGAACTACATCCATCGGGATCTTGCAGCCAGGAATGTTCTTGTTGGTGAACATAGTGTTTACAAAGTGGCAGACTTTGGACTTGCAAGAGTTTTTAAGGTGAGTTGTGAGAGGGTGAATTGGCTTTACGTTAACTCTGGGGAACAAGGTGGAAGAAGTCAACTAAAGGATGAACTGCAGCCTCTGAATTGCTGGGTTCAGGCAAAGGGAATACCTGGGGAGAAAAGGACCCCTAATATGTTCACTTGTTTCCTCTACCATTATCCCATGCAAAGTTAGAAGCTGGCCTGTGCCTTTGTGTCAGTCTGCAGATGTCCTCCTGGTGTCTGCTTCCCACTCAGCCACCAAGGAAGGAGCCTGGCAAGAAATCCCCTTTGCTGCACAACCTTTATCCACACCGCTGGCGTCTGCCACATGGAGAGAGATCACAGGAATGATGGCAAAATTATATTCCTGAGCCTGTAAAAGAAGGCATATAAAAATGTATTGACAGCTATTCTTCCCTTGTTCACTTCCCTGCTGCCTCCATGATGTTTGCGAGTGTAGGTAGTAATCATAAAAGGACCTTATTCCTCTCCACGACTAACAGCGGAGTTCATAAAGTGAGCTCTCAGAGCTTTAAATCTCATGCAGTTTCAAGTTCTTTGCCATTGCACTGGCTTTTTTCTCTAGCCCTTGAGGATGTGGAATGCTAAGTAAACCTGACCAAGATCACCCTAGGAAAGAACCATTGTTTAAAAATGAGATTTCCTACCTCTGGAAATTATTTGATCAGAGTTAGAAAGACTAGATTTGCCATATTTTATGGATTTCAATATGTAATCCATAATTTCTCAGGTCTTATTATTGCTTTTATTGATTTATGTTCTTGCACTGAGAAGGAAAAACAAAGAAAAAAGCCCTCTGCTTCTCTTTGTTTTTTTTTTTTCTATTCAAGCAGTAGAAATTGAAGTTCATAACAGAGTTGGATTTATTACATACTGAAGTATAGAATAATGGCTTGACAGTGGCATCAAGGGACTTTGAAAGAGCTTTTTGCTTAATTTTGATTTTTCTACTTATGCATAAGTTCAGATTGCACATTTCTTAACATGAAAAATACATATTTTTAAGTGAACAATGCTGACAATGGATATTTCTTGTTTGTCCTCACTAGAAAGGGTAATAATTTACAGCTGTTGACATTTCTTGTTAAAACTGAACTTTGCTAAAGTACTCTGTCATAGAGTCATCTTGGCAGACTTTCTTAGGAATATTCTGTCTCCTAAGCCAAAGCACTAAGTGGTCACATGCAAAGATCCCAAATGAACAGGTGTGAGAAATGAAATCTGTATTTCTGTATGCGTTAATTAGCATAATGAAATAATTTCCCGTTTCTAGAGATGAGTATTGTGGTCAAGATGTCAACTGTATTAGTATGTAGGTACAAAACAGTAACAACCAGTCCTTTCAAAACTATAGGGCATTACAGCTGGGAAACGTACATTCTGTACTAAAACCAATCAATCAAACAAATCTTGTACACATTTGCCCGATTTGCATGTGAAACCTGCAACAACCTGACCAAGGCTTGGATGTGACTGATGTACAGCAAATTATGTTTAGGAATTAAAGAGAGAATAAATGTTCATGAAGTTTAGATGTCTGCTATAAAACTTTAAGGACATGATTTTACAAATTTGCAAGTAAATAATTTTTCTTTTCCTATGTGTCTTTCATCTTCACTTTACGTGAATTAACTGGACCCACTGTAAGCTAGTATGTTAATTTGAATCACTTGGAGTTTGTTCTTTGGTCCCCAAAATCTGCTTAAGTGATTGTTATCAAAGTCAATGGCCCTTCAGCACCACAATAAGTCACAGAAGAAAGGTTCCGAAATTCAGTAGCTCTTGCTCTTGCCTTCTCTGTTTACTGAAGACCAGACGTGGAGCCATTTGGTCTCTAGGGTCAGCAGGATGCCTGCACTACCACTCCTGACAGAATTCTGAAATCTTGCAAGCCAGGTCCAGAATGCACAGTAGCAGGTCATAATTATCATGAGCCACTCCAACACTGTGTGCTTGCCTGAAATGACAAATGCTTTAGAAAAGCCTCCGATGAACAGTAGCGTTTCTCAACTGTGCAGCCCAATTCAACAATAGACTTCAGAAAGTGTGCGCTTTAATACCATGAAAGGCAAGTGCTTGGCTAAAAGAGGATAAGATTAAGCACATGCTTAGCTTAGTCAAGTGCTTAAGTTCTTTGCTGAAGCAGATCTGAAACCAGGCTTGCTTCATTTTACCCATGACAGGTAGAAAATGAAAACGTATACGAAGCTAGGCCTGAAACAAAACTCCCAGTGAAATGGACAGCCCCGGAGGCCATCCGCTATAACAAATTCAGCATTAAGTCAGATGTCTGGTCATTTGGAATACTTCTCTTCGAAATAATCACCTATGGGAAGATGCCTTATGCTGGTAAGAATGATGTCTAATGTTTTCTTGCTTTAAGAACAGCACACAAAAAATCTGAATGCCTGTTCTACAGGCATGTTAAAGGGTTAAAACTGTGAATACAGAATGAAGGTTGTTCAGATGAGGTCCACTTAGTGGGTCAGACCTTCTGGCTGCACCAGGCTCCCTGGAAGCTTTCCAAAGGCTGTGATTAGCAGCCATTCAAGCTTCCTCTTGCTGGAGTCAAACTGCATTGTACAGGCACCTAAGCCAACTGGCTATTTCCCTCCAGCATCAGATCAAAGATACCAATTCTTGGAGTGTGGAAAAAGGGAAGGTTTTTCTGTCCCCCATCCCACCCTGGTTTGTTTTTTTTTTTTTAATTTTTTTTTTTTTTTTTGAGGACATCTAATGGAAGAACAGTTTATTATGTGTGAAGTGCTGCACAGGCACTTCAGGAAGAAGGTGTCTGAAAAATGAATCAGGGTGTTTTTACTCCCTTCCCTCATATTTGACTACTGCAGTGGAAAGCCTTCGTAAAGAGAAGGATCACAAGAATTAGGAATAAAATATCTCCAACCTCAAAAGTAGTTTTAATGGTATGAGAGCAGCTATTATTCCTAGCACTGTGAAAAAATGGTCAAGGAACTGTGGCTCCAATAACACAAGTTATCAGTGAGATGATTGACTGTGACTCATTTTGTGCTGGTGAGGAGAACACAAGGGAAGGACGAAAGCAAAAAAAAAAAAAGTTATTCTGCATCTCTACAGGCCTGAGGGGTGGTGTGTTCACCATAAACTACTTTTCACAGGATCCCAAACTGGTATTTCCTGTAAAAGGAAAAATTGATTTTGCTTTTTGATTCCTGCTCTCACCTCCTGTGAAACTATTCTGGGAAAAAAAAAAAAAAAAAAAAAAAGGAAAACCAAAGCCAAACCCTCTCATCTCATATAAACTATAGGTGCATGCATATGCACAGACACACACATATATAAATTATTCAAGTATAAATTATATGTAACACCATGATTCTCAGTATTGTCTGTAAATATGTTCAGCATCATCCTTTTGCAAAGGTATAGTTTATCTGTAACTTTACAGTAGAAAATGCTTTGCCATGGCTGTTTTGTTACATGGTATCACTTTCAGGAGTCTGTCCTCAGTAATCATGAGAAGAGGTTGCGTTGATCCATGGTGGCAGTGGGTAATGTACAGAGGAAACACCACTCAGAGATCTAGGGAAAAGAAGTAAAGATTATGCAATTCAAGATTTAATTTAAAGAGTAAAAAATTAAAAGGGAATGGGACAATAGTTTTAATATTTAAAGGTATAGCAAAAGTAGGGAATGGTTTCTTCGCCATGACTCGCAGTGGCAGAGCAGGCAGGATGCCATCTTGTGGCTGTACCAGAGGAAACGTAGGGCTGATGTTAGGGAGAACTTTCTAAATGTGCGGGAAATTCAGCAGCAGGACAGATTTTCTTGGGGGATTTTGGAGTCACTGAGACCTAGAGGGATTTAGGAACAGTTTAAGGGAAACAGATGTCAGAAAATTCTCAGCAAAGCCGGGTGGCAGAGGAAAAGCCTCACACGCGGATGAACCCCTTTGCTGTGCCTCTCAGGTGGCGCAGTGGGGGTGAGGGGGCTGGGAAGTGCTGGAGGGAGTTTTTAGCTGCTGGTTTGGGATCCTCCAGTGACTGCTGTGTTGCTGCCCCCCCCGTTGCCCTTGCAGGGGTCCTGCTGAGGCCAGCTCTGCCCTCTGCGTGCACATGTACCTCACGGGGGGTGAGGGGGGACCATCCCGTTGCCTCCTCTCAGTAAGAGATAGGGATGTGTGGTGTCACTTAGTACACCCCAAGAGGTCTGACGAACTCCTTTTGGCTTGCAGGTATGCTGCAGGAGCCCTGCCCGCTGCCGCTCTACCAGCTGATGCTGCAGTGCTGGAGCACGGAGGTGGGCGGGCGTCCCACCTTCGAGGCCCTCTGTGGGCAGCTGGAGGGCTACTTCGAGACCAACTCCTCTTCCTACACCCAGGCCCAGGCCGTGGTGAAGTGAAACCCCAGGCAGGGGCTGAGGGACAGGCGCCAGCGAACGCGGCTGAAGGGGGGAGCTGGGAAATCGGCCTCACCTCAGGCATGGAGGTTGTTAGGGGATGCTGAGGAATCGTGGTACGTTTTCACTCCCACGCTGATGCTCAAAGACACTTAGGATTTTTGCTGCTGGCAAGTGTTCTGCAAAGCATCAGGAAGCTGGAAGGGTGGGGGCTTCTAAAAAAATAAAAAGTCTTCTATTTATTTTTTAAATAATGTCACAAGAATGCACAAATGAAATGAGTGGTGTTCAAAAACCATTGTAACATTTTGTAATTTCTTTACTGGAATAATTATTTGCTGTTCCTTAGATGTTTGATTCCTACCAGGTTGTTCTCGTGAAGGAATGTGATGGCTCTGCACAGCAGGATCTGTGCATCCAGAGTCTTCACATTGTAAAAAAAAAAAAAAATATAATAAAAATCCCATGACTGTGATGATGGTGGAATCCAGATGAATTGCCTTGCTCAGACTTGAAGTACATGTTCTTTTGCTGTATCTGAAAATAAAACAGATGTCCATGGGAGGAAAGGAATTATTTTGTTTTGTGGATGCAAAGAGTGATCTTTTTTAGTTTGTCTACCATCCTTCTTTCACAAGAATAAACACAATTATTAGATTTTTGAAGCTGTTTGTCCTTAATTTTGTTAAATAGTGCCACAGAACCATTGAAGTGGAAGGATTTGCTTTATAGTTCTTCATTTTAGGAATATTGGAGGAAAAGGCATTTTAACAAGAAATCAAGACTGTCTTAGCCTTTTAGAGTGACCCTCTCCTATCCTGCTGCCCAAATCACAGACCCTCTCCAACAGGACAAGGCCCAGGGCAGGTCTAAGTATTTTGCAGAGGAACTAGCGATCCATGCTTCTATCTTCTCCAGATGTAACTTTAATGTAGGAGATTTAAATAATAGATGGTCCATTTTATTTAGTTCCATGGGGAAATGGAGCCCAGGTGCTTCTGCTAGCAGTCTTTACAGCTACAGATTTTAGATTTTTTTTTCCAGTTTTTCTAACTAACTATAATATTGGTTCTGCTAAAATCTGATATCACTGTGACAGTTTTATGTTCTCAATTGTGAGGCTTAAAGAACCAAGTTTCAATTATTTACTTATGATTCATCAGTTAATTATTTAACAACATAATCCAGGAATTAAGAGCTGTACTATGTTAACATAGCGTGAGCTCAGTATAAGTGTGCTACCATTTTCCTCTAATATCAAAAAGGGATATAAATAAATGAAAAGATTCATTACTTTAAAGGCTGGGCTGCTTTTATTACATCTTTTTCATTTTCTTCTCTTTATACTTCAAATCCATTCATCTCAGTGCCTTGCTTCTAATTTTTAATTTCCTTTTCTCCTCCTCTACTTTTGGAAAACAGCACACCTTTTTTTTTCTTTCATACACATCTCTTATGTGTTCACTATTCAAAACTTCTTTCCTTATTTATTGTTTTTCTCTTTCTATCTTACTGCACAGAGTCTTTCTGGTGTTCTGTCTCTGTTCACCTTCATTTTCTGTGCAGTGTTTCTCCCTACTAACCCTCTTTATACTAATTACATTTGCAAAGCACAATACAGCAGTAATTAATTAGCTGTCATAGCATCCATGAGATTTTGGAACGTAATCGACCACTCTGAAAGAAGAAGAGGTTAAATGGCTTTGCCAAACCCATCCTGATACGAATTGGTGTGGAAGGAACTGGGAGACTCCCAGGCAAAGTCCCCTTCTGTAATACCATCCCTGTTTGTTTTGAGAGTCATGCTAGCTACTGGCTCGTGGCCCCAACAGGATGTTATTTATGATTATCAAACCTCCATCAATCCATGTGTCTCTCATCTGGCCAGGAGCTGTGTTTTACACTGTTAAAGCATGTGGTTAACATATCCCACAGAGTAGGTTTATGCAATAAGAATAGCAATGCTGTTCGGAACGATCTCTGTGTCAAACTTGCAACCTTGATGTTCAAGCACTAATTCTAAGATGATTTTTCAGACTGAAAACATTAAGAATGTTGTGAATAAAAGTTGAGTTTGCCCAACTTAAAAAAAACCTGTTCATAAAAGAAATACAATCTTAAAAAGAACAGACTTTTACAGTTCACAGGGGTCTATGTCTTTTTTTCTTTTTTTTCCAAAGATGAGTTGCCAGGGAAAAAGACGATCGACAGCAGGGAAATTGCAAAGTTTTCAGAATTCCAGATTATACCAACTGTTCCAAGCTGCTCTGTGCTGGCCTCTGCCCTCGGGTGGAAGTCATCAGGCTCTTGTAGGACTCCACTGAAGTGACACCGGTAATTCTGAAGAAAGCACATCTGTACAATAAATGTCTTCCTAAACCAATGTATAGGGAATAGAAGGTCTGTTTGTCCAGCTAAGTTAGATTCCTTATCTTCTTAATTTCTCCTATAGTCAAAGGAGAGAGAGAGGCTCCTTGAGATGGTGAATCAGTGCACCAAAACTGCATTTCTCCTCTGAAGCATCCCTGACAGCCTTCTTTCTGTTTGCCTCTGTAAAGGTATCCAGGAGAGATGAGAAGCTATGCTGAGGGGTGTGTGTAATAACCCACATGTTGTAAACTGGAATTTGCTGTTTCAAGCTCCCTCTGAATTTCTCCTATAGTCAAAGGAGAGAGAGAGGCTCCTTGAGATGGTGAATCAGTGCACCAAAACTGCATTTCTCCTCTGAAGCATCCCTGACAGCCTTCTTTCTGTTTGCCTCTGTAAAGGTATCCAGGAGAGATGAGAAGCTATGCTGAGGGGTGTGTGTGTAATAACCCACATGTTGTAAACTGGAATTTGCTGTTTCAAGCTCCCTCTGCCACGTGTGGCCTCATGAACCACCGTTAGCTGAAAAGAGCAGAAGCTGCCAAGTGAGCTGCACCCTGCTGAGCTGTGTGAGGAGCGGGCACCCGTGTGTGATGGCCTCCAGGCGATGCGGCCTCGCACGCTGGGCTGCTGCCAGCAGGCGCATTCCCCTGCTGCTGCATCCTGCCATTTTATCCCTTGTGCTTGCTCTTTGCATGCTTGCACAGCCACAGCTAGCTAATGGAGTCTGGATCTGCCAGCTGCCTCTGGAATGTGCTGGCCTGGGGTGGGAGACAAGCAGCAGCAGCAGTGCTGGCTGAAAGCAGGGGGTAGATTCGCTTTGGTGTGTCTCATTATAGGCACTGCATCAAATAAGTTAGTTTATTTGTCTTCATCCTTGAGGCAGCGTGTGCATATTTGGCCTCCTCAAGGCGATGCACTGTAGGTGAAGAGGTGCAGTCAGCCTTTGTCTTCCATGCCTGAACACCATCTCCACCCCATTGGTGTGTGTCCTGCGACCAGTGCACCCTCTTTTATTAGCAGAAGTGGAAAGCAAGGAAAGGCAGGAAAGCAGGTAGGTGATGGGGCCGGGACATTCATATTTCTCTTGCACTGAGTTGCTCTGACAAAGTCTGGTGCCTGGAAGAGCCCCTTTGCCACTCTCCACAAGCCATCTGAGGCCAAGCTTGGAAACCACACATGCTGCTATGAGATCCAGCGGTTCCTCTTGCTGGCTTAAATCCATGCACTTGCACGTCCTTATTTTGCTTATCCCTAAACTGTCGTTGTACCAGTGAATGCTGTCACTCTCATTTGAGCTCTAGATTTGGATATCTTTTCCTGGGGCTGGCAGGGGAGCAAAGGAGAGAAAAATCATCAATGCAGTGGAATCAGCAAAGCTCTGGAAATAAAGAGTAATGTGGAAAATTAGTCATTTGTTCTCAGCTCTTTCTCTCCGTATTTTTGCAGTCAAATGGATCCATTATGGAGGATGATTGGAGGAAGAAGTCAGCAAAGGGTGATAAACCTTCACAGAGTTCAATTTGCTTACAGGCAATACAACAGGCAAAACGATACCTTTCCAAGTCCAATTCCATTTTATAATAATTTTATTTATATGACAGATAACAATTATAGTCAGAAGTCTTTGCTATGACTTGATTTAAATTAAACATCAAGGTTATAATTTCCAGTTATAGTGCACTGCGAGATGGGTTTAACTTATCTCACTCTATTCTTGAGGCCTTTTATGTTCAAGGTTCTGCTAGAGCTATGTATTGCACTTGTTTTTACCTGATGGATCGTGGAGGGAAAATAATGGATTCAGTTATGAGAAACAGTAATAGATTTTTTTGAACTGACATAAATTTCTATGTTTAGATAGAATAAAAGGATCAGGAAAAGATAAGTTGAATTTTCTACAATAGACCGGTCCTTGTGAAATTCACTTCACATCAATTGTACTGAGATGTCTTTTATGTAATGTTTTATTTATGTAATTCAGTTATTCTTTGAGAACTAAATCATTTTATGTGGTCTTACAAAAGATAACTTAAAAACATCCACCCAGGAAGAAGGAACCTCAATTTTTCTTAAACTCGCCTTTCTTCGGGAAGTTATGGAGCAATGCAATTATTTTGAACTGTAAGTATTAGGGAGTCCCTAGTGCTTATTTTTGACTCCTATTGGAGAACCTTTGCTCACCTAATCTGCATTCAAGAACACATGCAGGGATACTAAACATGTGATAGAGCAACAGGGAACCTTCTATCACTCATACTGCTTTCTTTTTTTTGCCCATTGTATCTCATACTTGCTCTCTGAATGACTTGACTACAAGCAGCAATTTTCTTTGTGTGGCTTTGTAACTTATAGCATGCGAGGAACTGAACCATCAGAGTGCATTATTCTATTGCAGTTCAGACTCAACAAGCTGTCAGTGCATAGAAATGGAGCACACGACTCATTCTAGTGATTGCTCCTTAGGCTCTCCTACATGCTTCTGTCTCGCTCCTTTAAAAAGTGCTGTCCGCTCAGGGCTCCTATGCTCACTGGGACTCACTGGTCAGCTATTTGTAGTGCATGGATCTTGGAGCAGACAAAAACGCTGCACCTAAGTGTTGTGCCGCTGTGCTCAAAGAGATACAGATATGTGT